CTCCCAGGAGCCAGCCGCCGTAAAGTAAAGTAAAGTAAGTAAAAGAGTTGACCTCTGACCCCCACTCTCTCTGGTAATCGATGACCCCGCTGTAAAAGTGATCAGTTTTTGACCACTCACTCTTTTATCGAATGCATCTAAAGAGAGAAGATAATATTTATATTATTCCCATTAGTCATGAAACATGAATGCCAAAGGAAATCGTGATGACCAAGTAGTAGAACATGTGGATAAGTTTTGTTATTTGAACAGTTACATCTCACCCGGTGGACACATTACGGATGAAGTGTCAGCTCGCATACAGAAGGCTCGATTGGCATTAGCGAACCTGAGATATCTGTGGTGGTGCTATCGCGACATCCGGTTATCTGTGAAGGGTTGAATTCGGCCAGTTCTGACTAGTAGTACTGAGGTTAGACGTGAAGTATTAGGTAACTGCGGTCACCCACTGGAGAAAGTGTTCGACCTCGATAGAGTACTTTGGTTGGGACATGTGTTACGCATGTCACTAAATAGGTTGCCACGGTGAGCGATTTTCGCCGAGACAGGTAGTGGGTGGTATAAAGCCAAGGATGGTCTAGTTAAGACCTTGCACGAGAGTATAAAAGGCCTAACCAGGATACTAAGTATCCTGTGTGATCGAGCTAGAACGCTGTATCATTCGGACACTGTGGAGAGTGATTCAATATATATATATGTATATATATATATATATATACTCTACCAGTTAAACTTCGAGGGTACACTGATCTTTTTAACTTCTCAATTTAGACAGACACATTGAATGCATTGATTAGCATACGAGCTATCAGTCATGATATGTTTTCCTTATAACCTGACGTGCATCGATTACGGCCAATCGTGACGAGCTTCGAGACGCGTTCCTTGACTCGCAACCAATCAAATTACCACTGGTTTAAATCAGAAGACTCGTGTTTTGGGCTTTTTGGAAATGTACCGGTACGCGCTAACGAAAATTTGCATTAAATCACGGAGGATCAACGAGGACCAGCGAATGCGTGAACATGCAAACTGGTCGAAAGTGCGTTGGTACTGAGATAAACATGTGAATATACACGCAGATTGTATAGGAAAATTGATGCCCGGCTAATGTCTGTCTGATATTGTCCAGACTTCACACTACAAATTTATCGGAATCCATCTACTAAACGTGCTTTAGCACGTTCTACTCCCGTTTCTGACAATTTTCTGATTACGTAACACATACGTCGTTTTTCATAAATTATTTGAAACGGACTGAGTAATGCAATCCATATGTCACATTCTGTAATTATCTTGCCCGAATGATTACTTGGCTGTTACCGAACCACTCAACACAATAAATGACTGCGATCTACACTGATCTTTCTCCCCATTTTGTAACTGTTTAAATATATGAATTCTGTTCTGAATTTTGAATTCAATGCGCGTAATGAGTATCCATCATACCTAGTTGTATCTCTGCTCGGCTGATATTTGCCAAATTGAGACATCTGTGAGGCCGTCGCGATATCCGGCTGTCTGTGAAGGGTCAAGTGTAAGCTGCAGCATTTCGGTCAGTTCTGCTTTACGGTGCAGAGACTTGGCCATTACGGGAACAGGATAAAAATAGATTGTCGGTGTTCGTACACCGCATTTCACGAGTTTGGTGGGGAAACCGGACGAACAATACTGAGGTTAGCTTATAGTTTTAGACAGTCGCGGTCGTCCACTGGACCTCTATAGATTACGTTGGTTATGGCATGTGTTACACATGTCATCCAATAGGTTGCTACGGCGAGTGATGTTTGCCGAGGCAGGAAGAGATTGGAAAAAGGTCACGGGTGGTCAAAAGAAGACCTGGTATGAGGGTATGAAAACCCTAACCGAAAGACCCGTTAGGCTACCTTGCTGGGGATTTCGAGATCATGGTCACCGATTAGTAGAGATATAGCGATATGGCTGGGTGTTGCAAACAATGGTGCTCGTGCATCTATTCATTATTCTCCTAACATCAATATATCAATCTTCCATCTTTCGCATGAATTCGCTTTCAACATTCCAATCTTCATTCTGCTTCTTTATCCAAATGGAGCACCAAAAGACAGTCACCAAAACCGGTGCACGAAAGTGCAGGGTTCATGGTTGGAAAAACTGAAACTGAAACTCTCTTATTCTAGATAACATCACCCAAGAACAAACAGATGAGGCAGAGAAGTTGAAGAACATGAACCTACCCGTTACGTAACCCTCCTTCTGTAACCTTGACCTCTCGCTGATATACATATATATATATGACCCCGATTATCCGGTCACTGTGGACACGTGCGATAAACGTTTGCGTCTTTACGTCGCCTTCTTCCTGCTCCCAATCCGCGTGTATGCCTGACTGGTCTAAACTGATGGAGTGTTGCTGCTGGTTAACTCCTGGTCTTCCCTTTTCAGACATAGGGCCCATGGTTAACAAATCCCACCTATGGCTATTACATAAGTGAGTAATAGAGGATTTCGTTCGATATCAAAGACCAATTCATCGTATTTATAGCAAATGAAGCGTGATTTGAAAAGCCAGGAAGCACTGGACAGCGCTCTCAACCTGGTTGGGTCTCATCCTCACAGTGCGTGAATCCATCGACCCAACTGGGTACCATGAACCCGGGACCACTCAGGTAAAACGTAAGCGTACTACCCACTCGGCCATCAGTGGGCAGCTGATCAGACCGTTTTTTATTTTTCATTTACACGGTATAGCAACACCCATCTAGGCGAGCTTCTTACAGACCACAGACCTCGCTCTTCTCAGCACCAGCCTCCGGGTTATGACTCGGTTGGAAACATTCACAAATTGACTATTTATTTCAAGTGAGTAGTGGTGGATTTGACTGAATTACTTAAGTGTGTTTAATTATGTGTATTATATGATCAAAGACAAAAGTACAACAGACTCACCTCTGGTGGACTTTTACGCAACAGGTGCAATGATTTGGGAATACAATTGTACACCTCATCATCCCAGACCATATCGTCCCCGCAACTGCACGAGAACTGATGCTCAAAAATGCCCAATTGTGTACAATTTTGTGGACTGCACGCTTGTTGTGTATTACACGGGTTCGGACACATACAATTATACACCTTTTCTTTATTTAACACATGATGCATAATGTGACACATGGTGATACAACTTAGATGAAACATTTCCCGTAATTTGAAATTGGCCGGTGTTTTCTTGACCGACTGGTAGTGTACATACGAACTCCGAACCCGTTGCACGTCGGAAGCAAAATCCGAGGAATCTTTTGAACTCATAAACAGAGTATCGATCCACAAACGTCGCAACTCCTGACGACATCGTTCTGTCGCACTGCACTCATTCATACACGGATGTCCGACCATTTCGAGCAAATTGCTCGACTGAGCATAGGCCATAATATTCTCCATTGTGTTGAACTCTGTCCCAAAAAATGGAATCCACGTTTCAACACTCTCCAATGTGAATACAGATGGGACCAGATCGGAACAAAATGTCTCTCTTAAAGCATCAGTGTTCATAACTATTGAAACCAGTATGAAGAGTACACAGGCATGTTGTACCATCACAGTTCGGACCGCATAATTCGCGAGCATGGCTTCAATGTGCAATGTGCAATGACCGACGGAACTCAAGGTCATTTGTTTCCTTTTTTGAATTTCCACGAGATCAATAACAGGCCTGCCCATAAGCATGGGCTTTCAGCTGGCACAGGCTTCGTGAGGATAAGTTTGGTTGTGTATTGTATTGTGTATTGTGTATAACTTTTGCAAGCACTGGAGCTCACATTTCAGT